TATTACTTCCGGCCTAGCAACGTTTTTGAATTCTCGAAATTTTAAATACGATATTCATATTATTACTACTGAAGTATTCGGAATCGAGTATTTGGGTATTTAAACTTACAACTTTCATAATATTTACCTTTCAGATGTCTTTTTTTTTTTNTTTTTTTTTTTTTTTTTTTTTTTTTTTTTTTTTTTTTTTACAATATGTTACAAGACAATGATAACGCCGAATTTTCTGCATTACAAAATGTATTGCTTTACCGCCTTAAAAATTAATCCATTTTACAAGTAGTAATTTTCAGAACCAGCAAAATTTGTTACTGATTTTGAAAAATAGAATCACGCCCCGGATCTGTCACATGAAATTTCTCTCTCTTTTTTTTTTTTTTTTACGAATAATATGCTATTTTCATAACTGTTGTGAGTTTGCAACAGTTAAGCGTGACTGTTCGGTCAAGTTAAGCGTATCTTTAGTCAGCGCTCTGTATTCTGTTAATTCTGAAAATGCCCCAAAACGGGAAAAGAATAGTCACAATTTTGCGGTCAGAAAAAGTTTGTTCGCTATTTTTTTAATATTTAAAAAGCTACTCGAACGCTGCTTATCGCTCCTATCATTCTCAAAAATTTAAAATTATTTATTAATTTTAGTAATTTTTGTCTAGATGGAAAATTCTCGCCAAATTGGCAATTTTTGAAAAAAGTTTAATAACTTTTAACATATTTAAGCTGTTTGTCTGCTTTAAAGGTCAGATAATTTTTTTAGGCAAGATGGTATCGATACATAGTTTAAAATTATATTTTTGCATCAGGAGTAAGTGTATAAACTATGACTTTTTATTTTTTTAAATTTGTTTTTCACAATAAGAAAGTTTTTTTTTTTTAAATTTTATTTATTTATTTATTTTTTAAATAAAAAAAAACACTGTCTTACAGCAAAAAAGTTAAAATCAAAGTTTTTTCTTTTTTTCTCTCTAAAAAAAATTAAGTAGTACTTTCTTAACATTAAAACACAATATTTATTATTATATGAGGCATACGATTAATGCGAAAACAGCTTAAGAGGTGAAGAGGGATTTCTTATTTTGCAGACTTGGTCAGAAAGAATCTAATTCATGTTTGTGTAAAATGCTGAATTCCCGTTATTATCAAAAACTTTTAATAAGCTGCATTTTAAAAAGAAATGATGTTCTAAGAAAATTAAATTTAAAAAAAATAATAATGAAAAGTATACTTCACGCATATTATTTACCTTATGTGAACTTTAGAAAAAAAATGGAATTAATAAAAAATATAAAATAGAACAGTTAAATAGGATAGAAATTAAAAAAAATCAGGTAGACTAGAAGTAATTTGAAAAGTGAATTTTATTTCAAATTTTTTTTTAGTACTATGTTCAATCATAAGAATATCATAAAATTTTGTAAGTATTATTTAAACACAAAATTTTGCATAAGTATATGTGCGTAGTTATTTGCTTACAAGAGGAGAGGTTAAAAATCGACAAAATTAATTAATTATTTACTTAACATTTAAGTGGGCTGTATTAAAATTTAAATCAATAATTTTTTTAAAGATTTTAAATTTCATTTTATTAATTTTTTATGCCTGAGATTGAAGTTATGAATAAGTTTGATTTACTAATGAACATCACAAGAAAATTTTAAATAAAGGACAATCATTTAAAAAAAAAACATTTATATTAATTTCATCTGAAGCACTAAACAAAATTTATAAATAATAAAATTGAGTCACGCAATAACTAAATATTAATAATATAACTTCACATCAAGTTATTAATATTTCATTTATCTCTACTAAAACATTTAACTACATCATAAAAGCAGGCATCATGTGAGAACTCAAGAGCCATTCACAGAGCGAATCCTAACAAAAGATCTTTTACACGTGGTCCAAATTGACTCCGCCTTAGGTTGATTCATCAACCAATAAACTTCCTCCTCATTTGCCAAGAAGGCGGGAAATATGCGCAGAGCATTGGAAAGTTTTCACCTATGGGTCCCATGTTCACGAACTCTTTTAATTCGCGGCATGGCATTGTGGCGGTTGTACATAAAANTAGCGTGAAAATATCTTTTGTGATGTAACTCTTTCAAAAGTACATAAAAATGGTTGCCAGCAGGGGTGTACATGTAGATTTATTAAATACACTTTTTGCGCCACCTAGGAACCAAATCTAGAACCCGACACTCGAAATTTTTACTCTGTTACAATAGTGTCCTGTTACAATTGACCCCACTCTCCCCTAATGTTACCGAATATTACAACAGTACGGTTTTCAACAATAAGTTTTTATTTTTTATTTTATGGAATAAAAATATTATTCTGCAGAATAAATTATAGTATATAATTATTATTATTTTACTGAATGAAATTATTCAATGGAATAAAAAATTTACGGAATAATAAAATTATCTATAGATTTATTGAGTCTATAGAATTATGTGAATCTATAATATTATCTGAAATCTAAAGAATTAATCTGTAGGTTAAAAACTACTTTGTGCCGAAATTTTAATTCGCAGTTGAAAAGACTGCTTGTAATTTCTGATAGTCTAAATTTTTCGATTTTTTTTCTTCTTTATCGATTTTTTTTCTTCTTCTTTTTCGTTTTTTTTTTCTTTTCCCCCGCGTCACTTTTCAATATCTAAAATTTCTAATACGATGTTATTAAAGCGCGAATTTCAAATTAGAGTTCTGACTTCTTGGCATGATTTATGCGCGACTATTCGACGGTTAATTTACATCCATTTTTTCGGCAGATATTTTTTGTTTTTATAGTCTTCTTCTCATAGTTTTTTTTAAATAATGATATTTTTAATCTAATATTATTACAACGCGAGAATTTCAAATTTGACTAATCACTTTTTGACTCGTTCAATTCGCGACTATGCTGTCGCAAATCAACGTCGTTTACAAATCATTTTCTCGGCAGTTATTACGGATTAGTTGTATTGCTTTCAGATTGACAACGCTTTTGAATTCTCGAAATTTTAATACTATATTATTACTAATGACGCATACGGAATGGGGCATTTGTGTATTTAAACTTTCAACTTTCATACGAGTATAACTATTTAATATTTATTTTCAAATATCTTTTTTTTTTCTTTCTTCTTTTTTTTTTTTTTTTGCAATATGTTACAAAACAATGATAACGTTGAATTTTGTGCATTACAAAATGTATTGCTTTACCGCTTTAAAAATTAACCCATTTTGCAAGTAGTAATTTTCAGAACCAGCAAAATTTGTTCCTGATTTTGAAAAATAGAATCACGCCCCGGACCTGTCACATGAAATTTCTCTTTTTTTTTTTACGAATAATATGCTATTTTCATAACTGTTGTGAGTTTTCAACAGTTAAGCGTGACTGTTCGGTCAAGTTAAGCGTATCTTTAGTCAGGGTTCTGTATGTTAATTCTGAAAATGCCCTGAAACGGGAAAAGAATAGCCACAATTTTGCGGTCAGAAAAACGTGTGTTCGCTATTTTTTTAATACTTAAAAAGTTACTCGAACGCTGCTTATCGCTCCTACCATTCTCAAAAATTTAGAATTATTTATTAATTTTAGTAATTTTTTGTTTACATGGAAAATTCTCGCCAAATTGGCAATTTTTGAAAAAAAGTTTAATAACTTTTAAAATATTTAAGCTGTTTGTCCGCTTTGAAGGTTAGATAATATTTTATAGCAAGATGGTACGGATGCATTGTTTAAAACTATAGTTCTGCATCAGGAATGAGGTACATAAACTATGACTTTTTATTTTTTTAAATTTGTTTTTATCAATAAAGACGATTCTTTTTTTATAATTTTATTTACTTATTTTTTAATAAAAAAAACACTGTCTTACAGCAAAAAAGTTAAATACAAATCGAAGTTTTTTATTTTTTTATTTTTAAAAGAAATTAAGTAGTACTTTGTTAACATTAAAACACAATATTTATTATTATATGAGGAATACGAATTACTTCGAAAACAGCTGAAGAGGTGAAGAGGGATTTCTTATTTTGCACATTTTGCTGACTTGGTCAGAAAGAATCTAATTCATGTTTGTGTAAAACGCTGAATTCCCGTTATTAACAAAAACTTTTAATTAGCTGCATTTTTAAAAGAAATGATGCTCTAAGAAAATTAAATTAAAAAAATAATAATGAAAAATATACTTCACGCATTTTATTTACCTTCTGTGTTCTAAACTTTAGAAAAAATTGGAATTAATAGAAAAGATAAAATAGAACGGTTAAATAGGATAGAAATTAAATAAATCAGGTAGACTAGAAGTAATTTGAAAAGTGAATTTTATTTAAAAGATTTTTTAGTATCATGAGAATATCATAAAATTTTATAAGTATTATTTAAACACAAAATTTTGCATAAGTATACGTGCGTAGTTGTTATTTGCTTACAAGAGGAGAGGTTAAAAATTGACAAAATTAATTAATTAATTAATTAATTATTCACTTAATATTTAAGTGGGCTGTATTAAAATTTAAAACAATAATTTTTTTAAAGATTTTAAATTTCATTTTATTAATTTTTTATGCCTGAGATTGAAGTTATGAATAAGTTTGATTTACTAATAAACATCACAAGAAAATTTTAAATAAAGGACAATCATTTAAAAAAAAAAAACATTTATATTAATTTCATCTGAAGCACTAAACAAAATTTATAAATAATAAAATTGAGTCACGCAATAACTAAATATTAATAATATAACTTCACATCAAGTTATTAATATTTCATTTATCTCTACTAAAACATTTAACTACATCATAAAAGCAGGCATCATGTGAGAACTCAAGAGCCATTCACCGAGCGAATCCTAACAAAAGCTCTTTTACACGTGGTCCAAATTGACTCCGCCTTAGGTTGATTCATCAACCAATAAACTTCCTCCTCATTTGCCAAGAAGGCGGGAAATATGCGCAGAGCATTGGAAAGTTTTCACCTATGGGTCCCATGTTCACGAACTCTTTTAATTCGCGGCATGGCATTGTGGCGGTTGTACATAAAATAACATCTCAATGTGTTGCATCATTTTAAAGTGTATTAGCCACTCGGCCAGAGCTGTTTTTCACACGAGGGAAATATAAAAATGAAGAACTTGTAGAATGGGACATATAAAATACTTCGTTTGTTCTCAAATTGTTACATTTTTGCAATGATATCAGTTGAAGTTTTTGTTATTTTGATAAATTATTAAAGAACAGAGTTATATATTGCAGTAAAAACCAATTATTCATTGCCAGTCTGTTAATAATTCGAATCTGTAATTAATATAGGCCAAATATTTGTAGCCCTTAATTACATATTTCATAATCCACAAACAAGTATTCTTAGAAAATCTGGAATAATTTTCTTAGCTATTGAAAAATATTTTACAGAATAAAATCAGGAAGAATAAACTTTGTTTTAATTCTAGGTGTAAAAAAAACTTGTCTAATGAACATTTGAAAAATGAATTTCAAACGATTTGAAATTTCAAACGATTTGTGAAAGATAAAACGATATTATAAAGAGCTAAAACTGTTGTATATCTTTGCAAAGTTTATATTTTTAGAAAGATAGTTTATCAGACGATAATTAAACATTGATATGACATATGAACTGAATTGAAAACATTTCTAACTTTAAAGCAATCACTTTTGTTTATTGTGAATTTCAAAAGCTCCAAGCTGTTCTCGACCGGTGAAACGACTTGTTTGCTAGTAAGGTAAGCATAACATTTTATCATTCTAAATTCAGTTCGTTGTATATAAGATGTTCGAGTCATTTTTAAAAAGCTTATACTCCTTTGATTATACTTGTTTAAATAAAATTAATGCAATATAAATAATTTGGGGAAAAAAATAATTTTATGAATAATAGCCTGAAATATATTCTATTCTTTCTTATGAAATATCTTTTTTCTTTCTTTTTTTTAAATAATAAATTTATGTTACAAATTAGTAATTTTATCAGATAATGTAGTATAAAACATAATGTTAACAATTAAAAAGTAGAACCAATAGAATTTTATTACATAATGTACAAATATTTAACTATAGTAATTAATGAGCAATTATTTAATTTTCATGCGTGTTGTCAGAAAAAACTTTAAGTTATTGATAATTTCAAAATAACAGCTAAAATTATCAGTATAATATAATACAAAATTTGGAGAAATTTTTCAATGAAGAATTCCTATAACTTCAGCTATCGCTTTTGACCGTGGAATTCTTTCTAATATTGATTTCATCCAGAGTAAAATTAGTCACGAAACCCAACAAACTCTCTAATTTGAACTTCAAAAATTTTATGGTTTTACCATATTATCTGAAAATTAGTTCTTAAGTTGCTAGGTTTTTAAATAAATTTGATATTAAAGTCGTTTTGTTCCCAGAAAACAAACTAAGTTTTACCATCCATAAAGACCCAATTGCTGATATTGATAAATAAATAGCGTATTTATCAAAACTTTTGTCAGTGTGGTCTTATGTTCACTGAAAATAACGCACTTATAAACTTCGATTTAACATGTAAGATGTGTCAAAAATCTGGATATTAAACCATCTTCCATTACCCCACATTGTTGGAATTATAATCATAGGTTTGAGTTTTTTTCTGATAATATCATCCAATAATGCTCCTCATCTATCGACTTTGATTTTTGGGAATAATTCATATTATTAAAAGATTTAATTATTTATCTAATGATCTTTCTAGTACCCAATTTTCCTCCAAAGTATGAAAACTTTTTGTAATATTTTTTTCAAATCTTACACTGTGAGATTACCATCAAACCTCCTCACACATATTTCTTAGCTCCACTCTTTATTATCTCGTTCAAGCTTGTTCTTCTATCTTTACTGGTTAAACTACTTTTTTACAACGCGTTTGTCTCGTTATTATGTTCTGTCATTTTGTGTTTCGAAACTGAGGAAGATTTTTGCTTACAGAACTGAAACTATAGTACTATGTCCGGGTATAGTACTATGTTCTGTACACTTTTATTTGTGCTTGATTCACGTTCTGTTTTATTTATATGTAGCAAAAACTATACTCTATCCTGATTTGGGTATTTGACTTTTTATAATTTCTTATAAAATATTGGATATTTGATTAAATTAATTAAAAATTATTTTTTAATTAACACCTCCGGTTCTTCTATTTTTAAGCCTAATAAAATGGCAAATTTTGATTTACATTTTTCGGGGAAAATACTGAATAGAATTTCAAAAATATTCTTTTTTAGTTGGAAAATTCTACATTTCTAGAATACTATGACAAGGTGTACATACTTGATTTTTGGAATTTAAAAATTTTATTTCTAAAAATTGATTTTAGAAATAATTTAAAAAGTGCTAATAAATTACAAAAAAGATTTAATATTTTTGAAACGAAATTCAGTAAAAAAAAAATTTCATTCAAGTTATCCACTGTCATATCAGCTGAGAAAGATCAGAAGGAAGATAAAAATTTCTTCATTAAGAGAAAACCAACTGCTTACATTTTAGTGAATAAAATATTAATAATTAGTTCTTAAATTAAGTATTCTTACATTTTTCAGTCATAACAAATCAGATATTGTTAGAATTTATTAATCCAGTAAAAATTTAATTCAGATTAAAAAGAAGCATTCAAAATACAACTTTTCATAACTTTAATTTGATTGTGACTTTATGCTTAGTCTTTTTCCCATTTCAAAGTAGGAGGGAAAAATAGTACTCCTTGCATGAAATCAAGGCTTAATAAATGCCAATTTCAATGCTGGATTCCTGAAATGGTTCAAGAACAGTAATCTACGGTGTTCTTGCATTTTATTGCTTTCATTATTATTTATTCATGCATTATTTGTATACAATGTGTTCCGCAAATATAACCCTTAATATTTATTTTTAGACTTCTTATCAAAAATAAAAACAAAAAAAATGTATGCACTAGGATTCGTAAAGAGAGGTTAAAACAAAAAGGCTATCAAAATCTGACAAATAGCATCACAGGAATGTGGACGTAATAAACATCAAATCAGGTTTAATAGCTACTTTTCAAATCCCCTTTTAGATAAATCATGCTGAAATTTAGAAAGAGAAAGAGTTACTATAAACAAAATTACAGCTACAAATGTAATTTATTACAAACATATAGGTATTTATCATTGAAATCTTTACTAATCAAACTTTATTACTTTTTCTTCCATAATTAAATGATATTGATTTAGTTATATTATTATTCAATTTTAAAACTTCAGCAATTTGAACAGACTCTTGAATTAAATTGATTTTCGAAGAAAAAAATTTCAGTGGCGCATTTCTTCATATGGTTCTTCTTCTCTAAGAACTAGCCTATCCATCCCTATATATCGAATACGTGAATTAACAAATAAAACTTAAAAAAAAGTGAAAAAAATTTAAAGCTTGTCCAAATATCTCCGTTTATCTTAGTTTTAATTTTATGAATTTCTGGACTAAAAATGCGATAGCTTTTCAGTGAATAAAATGTTGTATTTCATTCCATTTTTCTTCCTTTTATTAAACAACCGCATTTACATAAATGTTTCGAACGGAAATCTACGAACTTTTTTCACGAACGTACACAGCTAAAACTTGTATCAGACAATCAACGTGATTCTTTCCCGTAAAAGTGTTTCACTGCCTATAGCTCGAGCAAGAGATGAAAGTATAACAAGATAAGATTTTCTATCCATTCAATTCTAACTAGACTTTTTCTTGTAATATCTTATTTACAAATTGTAAATAACTGAAAATAAGTGGTAAATTACTTTAAGTTTAAAAATAACTGAAAATTACTCTAAGTATGAAAAGCGAAATATTTACAAAACTTATTCAAATACCTTTAATTGCTCGCTTAAATTATCTGAAATTCTAGATTGAAGATGCAATAGCTTTTCAGCATATAAAATCTGCTATTTCATACTTTTTTTCTTTTACAAAACAACTACTTTAACATAAATGTTTCTAACAGAATTCTACGAGAGTATTTCTTACACAGCTAAAACTTGTATCAGACAATCAACGCGATTCATTCCTGTGAAAGTGTTTCACTGCCTATAGCTCGTGCCAGCGGGAAAGCTATTACAAGATAAGATTTCTAATCCATTCATTTCTAACAAGACTTTTTTATGCAATATCTTGTTTACAAATAGTAAATAATTGAAAAAAAAGTGATAAATTACTTTAAGTAAAATAAGTGAAAGATTCACGAAACTTATTCAAATACCTTAAATTCTTCGTTTAAATTTTATGAAATTCTAGACTGAAAATGCAATAGCTCTTCATCATATAAAATCTGTCTTTTTTTTTCTTTACTAACACCATTTCCTGTACATAATTATTTAGAACTGAAATTCATGAGCTTAGTTCATGACTGCTGAAATTAGTTAGTGCTGAACATTGTCATGATTTAGTTAACAGAGATAAAGCTTGTAACAGAAAATTTATATGATTCTTTCCTGTAAAAGTGTTTCACTGTCTATACATCATGCAAACGGAAAAGCTATTAAAGGATCAGTTCTTGAATCCATTAATTCCCGCCTGGAATTTTCCCCGTAATATCCTGTTTATTTATACGAAGGTATCTAATTAGTGCAGAAATATGATTTTGGACAAAATTTTTGAAATTGAGTTTAATATAAATTTAGAATCCCTGTAGCTTTCTAAAAATTCTTTACTTTTGTTTGTCTTAAAATTATTCTCAAAGATAGTTTTCGTACAAGGTGATAACAGTGGATAGACTAGTGATTTTAAGTCTTTAAATGCGTTAATCTCAACATCAAGTTTTTCAACATTTCACACCACCTGAAATACGATATATCATATTTCTTTTAGAATAATTGTGTAAAATTTTTCATGAGTGTTCATCATTATAGTACGCATGTTTTGAACTACAGATTAAAGGAAAAAAGTAGTATTTCATTTTTTATGCATAAAACTATGCTTTTTAAAAAATTTGCTTTTTTAATAACATTGATACCTAACTCAGTAGTTTATGCTCTTGTATTTAAAATAATAGCTCAAAACAAAGTTGATAGACTTCTAAATAAAATTCTCAAGGAACTTTTGAAAGTTTTCTTTACAGTGCTTAGCTTAAATGCAAAAAACGCCTTATTTTTTTTATATATATATTTTTTCACCTGAAAATAGAATTTAAAAAAAAAATAAACTAATAATATTTTTTTGCTAGTTTTACAAGTTTTTAAACATAATAAAGATTATAAACTAGTTTTTTTAAATTTTATATTGATATTTAAAAAAATAGTCGAAATTAGTCGTATACTTTAAATGATAAGAACACTAATAAACCATTTTGAGGTGGTGTGGATCAATAAAATTTGGAAAATTTAGGGGCTGTTATATTATTTTAAAAAATGCTTTTTACATTCTTTTCAGCTTTAAAAGAAGTTAAATGCTTTTTATTTCAATGGCAAATGTTATATATTTTTCATTAGAACCTGAAAAACTAAAATTCATAATTTTGTGACATTTTAAATGTAAATAGTGTAAATATTTTATTTTAGTTTAAAAAAGTTTCTCCATAGAAATACAAAATTATTGTTATTCATATGTATTTAAATTTTTAAAAAAGGAAATGAAGAAATATGAAATTTTAAAATTAGAATTTTTACTTTTATTTTTTAATACTTGTAAAACAAATAAATCCTGTAGCAAATTAAATTATGGATAATTTTAGTAAATATAAATTTAAATTACTAATATTAAGTCATAAGATTATAGTTTTAAGAGTTCCTTCAAATTTTACTTAGACATTGAAAATCTAAAAGATTTGAAACTGTTAAACTGTTTATTTTTGTTGACAAGGACAAAGGAAGGGAATAAGCAATGATAATGTAACCCAATTTTTAGCAAAATTTTTTCGGTGCAAAAAATTTAGTCAAAAATTTGAGGAAAAAAAATTGCAATGAAAATATTTTTACTTTTGAAATTAAAGTTATCTTTGGTAAAATTTAAAATTTGAAAAAAACTTCTTCAAGGAGTAAAAAAAATTTAAAACTAAATTAAAATGGAAATTTTGTTTTGTGCAAGCATCTTTTATTTAAAATCCATCCAAAAATCTAAACATTTTTAAAATTAGATTGCTACAATAAAAACCAAAATCAAGGGATGAGTGATACGGATGCAAGGGAATGCATACGAATGCTAGGGAGGAGGTTTTGTAATTTACTCATATTAGCTGGCAGGGGGAAGTTCAAAATTTTCAAATACATAATATTTAAACGCCCCCATCCTATCAGAAAGTTAAAAAAAACTATTTTTAATGTTTTATATTCTCTTAAAATTCCTTTAAAATGTATCCTAAAATATTTATGAATAATAATTCTATATTTATTAAATACTAGCCGCAAAGGCGGCCAGCTGTCCGCCACGCTAAAGGTTTCCACAAATAAAGTTTTTTAAAACATAGCAGGAAATCTGAAGATTAGTGGACAATTAAAGTGTTTCTGTCCTGCAATTTTGTCTTCATATCCAGTTCTGCTGCAGATGTGNAGGAGGTTTTGTAATTTACTCATGTTAGCTGGCAGGGGGAAGTTTAAACAAATACATAATATTTAAACGCCCCCATCCAATCAGAAAGTAAAAAAGACTATTTTTAATGTTTTATATTCTCTTAAAATTCTTTTTAAATGTATCCTAAAATATTTATGAACAAAAATTCTATATTTATTAAATATTACATCAACACAAAAAAAAAAATGAATAATTAAAACAAAATTGAAAAATGTGTCCCAAAAAGGATCCTCTGAAAAAATGTTTGAAATGTTTCATCCTCATCATAGTTAACCAGACAGCCCAATGTGGGTCAATTCCTCTGAAGATTTCTCAAATATGACTTCTGATTTGTCTTTGATCTCCAATTCTTTCATTAAGTGCAGGAAAATCAGACTCCGCCGAATCAACTATGGCCTTCCCCGCCTTCCTATTCCAGTGTGTCTAAAAAGCAATATCTTGTATATTGCTTTATAATATATATGCTGTACTATACATATACTGTATTGTCATCACTCATTTGAATCACGTGAGCCATCCAGTTTAATCTATTTATTTTTATGCATTTAATAATATGTTCTTCTGAAATAAGATCATGTCCCGAAGCCTTCTTAATCTTTAAGTTTTTAATTGCAGCTCTAATCTACTAAATAATTGGAGTCTCAACTTCTATGTTATTGCTGGGTTCAGGAGCAATTATTTCGACATCCTTCTAATTTTCATTAAAAAGTTAATGAAAATGTTGATGCCATCGTTTTAAAATGCCCTGTTTATCAGTAATAATTTCACAAAATTTGTTTTTGTATAGACTAGAGGTCTGTTTAAAGTCCAATTGACGGCGGTTAATTTTCCGATCGAATGCTCTGTATATATTAATGGATTTTAGATGTTCAACATCCTTCAACAATTATTCATCAAAGACCTTTAACTTTTGCCTAAAGGATTTGTTTGAAATATTTAACAATGTTGAAATGACAAAAAAAGCATTAAAAAAAGAAAAGAAAAAAACATTATTTCAACTTGAACGTAAAAAAATTTATTCTTAAAACCACATCTTCTTAAATTACTTTGTGATTAGTAATTTAATTAATTTTTAATTGAATTAATCTTTCAATTAATAATTTCAATTAATCGTTCAATTATTAATTAATCGTTCAATTAATAAATGATTGAACGATTCATTGGTGAGATTTATTTCCGGACATGCTCAAAATACATTTTTAAAAAAAGAATACAACGCAAAATGCTTGCTCAAGCACAGTAAAAAAGTGTATTTAAGAAAAGTGATACGGCAAAAAAATACAATTGAATACTCTCCGAACAAGGGTAAACATTTTTTAACTCAAAATTAAAAGATACTTTTTTGTAGCATCATTATTTTATTTTTAACAGCTACCAATTCTTATACTTTCTTTGAAAACCACTTACTATTTCGCATAATACCTCCTATTTTTGAGCAATTTCCCATACTAATTCTCCAGATATAGTTTTGAACATTTTTTAATAAATAAGTACAAAACATTTAATAGTTTATAACTAATTGTAATTTTTTTATTTATATATTAATGGAAAAGCATTTTAACTCGCGTCTAAACCCTATAAAGTCTATTTAATGCATGTCATTTCATAAATAAATATCACTTTCAGTTTTTTTCTATTATAATTAAGAATTTCTTACTCTATATCAAAGTTATTTCTTATATTTTATTTTTTTTCAAAATCATTTATTTAATTTTAGGAGTCCCGATGTGATTCGATGCTCCGGAAGGTGGGGATCTTCCCAGAGGATGGAAAAAAGTGAGTTTTTCTATAAATTATTTATTTATTTATCGACTTCTGTTAGAATTTCATTTAAAATAAAAATATTAATCTCAGTCATTTATTATTCATAATGAAATGCCACAAAGTAATTATTTTAAACTGACGCAGTTTTTTTGAATATTCTCGTTAAATTATTATAACGGAACAGTTATGCTCAAAACTATTTTGAGGAAAATGACGATACTCAGATATTAAGGTAATGTCGTTTAATTAATTGTAAATCAAATGCTGTCCTTCAATTATATATAAGAAATAATTTTTTATCTTTAAAATTAGTTTCCTGTATATATAGTTTAGATTAGATATCTATTAGTTTTCCGTAACTTTAACTTTTCGTCGTTCCTACCTTTTGTCCAAAACATCTACAATTACAGTGTAGAGCACAAAAAAAATAAATAAATAAAGAACTTTTTGAATAATTTTCGATCTAATGACCGGATCTTCACTCTCCAGGACTCAAAGTTAATGATTCGAGGTGGTTCACCTCAAATATGCTAATTAAATTGGGCAGCCAAAATATTAAGTTACAAAAAACAGATATAAAAATGTACTTTCTCTGAATAAAGATACCTATTTTCCGACGAATTTGGATTTTTGACTCCAAAATATAGGGGGTAGCAGCAATCTGGGAAATACGGTCCTACAGCTTGGTTAGGAGAGGGATTCAAAGTTTGAACTCCATGATGCTAATTACATTTTTTGCGTATTTCACCACTTCTCAGGAACTTCGTAAGCGAATTAAAAAAAAAATTGCATACAGTTTTAAATATCATTTATTCAAGGATAATTTCATACAAAAATAAATTTTAGTTAACATTTATTATTTTTTATTATTTTATTTAATAATAGTCAAAACAATTTTCAGTTGTAAGGTATAAAATTTTTTATATAATTTTAAATTATGTATTTTACAGTGCAAAATACAAAATTTGAGCAAAATCGGTTGAATAATTCCCGATAAATCAAATTTTACAAAAGTCGTATATTTAATGGTTGCACTGAAGAAGTACGTTTCTGTGTCTGACTTCGCAACCTAAAATATTGTCTGCACTAATTGATTAGCATGCTTGAGCTCACCCCTTCAAACCATTAAGTGCGAGCTCTAGAGGGTGAATATCAGATCATTAGATCAAAAGTTATTCAGGGTGGTCAGCGCTTTCCTTCGCTGTACACTCAAAATATTCGTTTCATCTGAATGAAAATTCAAATACAAAACTAATATAATTTTTATTTATATTTTTCTATTGAGATCAAAATCGTAATTAAGATAATATTTTGCTTATGTCGTTACTAAACCCTAATCTTAGGTCCAAAAAGATTGAGTATGCTGTGTGCTACGCATACCTAAAGTGAAAAAAAAGCCTGAATAAAGCACAAATCAAGTACAGAAACGGATAGTGTTATTAGTTCTCTAAAAGAAACCCTTCTTCAATGTTTAAACACCAAGTGACATAAAGAGATAAAAACATGCAAAATTGTATAATCGATCAGAAAAAGAGATGAACACGTGCAAAGCAGTTTAACCAATCTACATTGTGAACAAACTAAATTTCACCGACCTCAAAGATCCAATTGCTGATATTACTAGCTGGGGCATTTATCAAATTTCATATCAGTGTGATCTATCGTATATTGGACAAATTAAATGTGCCCTTAAAGAACATGAAAGATACTTCAAAAATTAGGATATTAAATGATCTTTCATCTTCCTGCATAATTAGAATTCTAATCATAGCTTTGAGTTTTCTTCTGTTATAATCATTTAACACTTCTCTTCATGAACCTAACTTGATTTCTGGAAATCACTCCATGTTTTGAAAAATTGGAATAATTTAGTTAATGATCTTTCAAGCTTCTCACCCTATTCCAATGTATTGAAGTCTATTGTTCCCTAGGTTTCTCGCTGAATACCCTCATACCTGTTTTTTATAACCCAACTTTTCATCGTCTTGTTCAAACTCGTACATCTGTTCTGATTGATTTAACCAATTTGCGCGTGTTTATCTCTTTACTTCTCCAATAGACACTTGGTGTTTAGACACTGACGAAGGTTCTTGTTAAGAGAACTTAAACTGTAATATGCCCATTCTGCACTTTTTTGTGTGCTTTATTCGCAGTGTTTTTCCCTTTAATTTAGAATTAGGATTTTTTAGTTTAAAAAAAAAAGAAAAAAAAAGAGGAAAAAAAACGTTGAAGTTACATGCAATTAGTTTAGCTGAGTTTTTATATGTCTGAAAAAATTTTAAGAAGTGGTAGAAAAAGTTCGAAGGAAGAAACATTTTATTTAGTTCCCACTCTGCGAAAAATGTTTAAACATAACATAAAAAAAATCCAGATGTTCAGATGTTACTTAGCTAACTGAATTCCAAAAACTTAAAGTTAAATGTTATGAAATTTACAGCAGCCTCGTAAGACAATAGTCACCACTTATCCAGATAATGGTTTCAAAAATTTCAGCTTACACAAGGTTATAAAAAGCAACATTTTGTACAATAAAAACAAAGTTTGTATTATTTTCATATCACCTAGTTCTGTATAATTTAAGACCAGTTTCACTTAATAACTGTTAGCGCTCGTTTTTTTGTGTGCTATCTCTGAAAAAACTCTTTAAAAAATTAAGACGTGTGTCGTGAATCTGTTTTTTTTTCGTTCGAATCTAGCTCAACAATTTTTAAATGTTGATTTTGTAGTGTTCTTTTAACACTTAAAATTGTTAAGTTAATGTGTGTTACAACAATGTAATTTTGTATGCTATAATTAGTGACTTGTTACCTGCACAATTAAATGAAGAATTTAAAAAAAAAATTTAACCATTGAAATTTTCTTTATTTCAAAGAGCTATACATTTCTAAAATTTCAGGTAAAATGATAAGTCACATTTTCACATTACTAAGACGATCATTAAAGGTAAGAGGAGACACAATTTCAAAGTCAGCAATAAAATTTATCTGATTATTGGGCAGTTATCAATTAGAAATTCCAGAAACTCATCAGATACTTATATGGAAACATTATCAAGGAACATCTAAATTTTAAAATATATCCTTTATCTAAAATGTAACTTATAATCTCAAACTCTACAGCTTTAAATTTCAAATTTGAAAAAAAAAAAAGTGTTTTAGGAGAGTAGATTATTCAGACAAAGAAAAATGAAAATCTATTTTGTTTTTGTCAAGGAATAACGAACTCGCATTGACCGCGAGTATTAACCATCCTAACGTCCTACAATATATCTGTTAAATCTTACGATTTTTATGAAAGATATTTTCTAGTGGTAGCCCATTTCATACTTTAATACTACGGGTTTGAAAGTTTTTCTTTGTTGAAATTATATTAACCACCACAGAATAATAATATAGGCCGGGATAGCCTGGTAAAAAGGGAATTGGGCCCATATCTAAGAGGTTGTGGGTTCGATTCCCTCTGCCCGAAGATTCCCAGTGTACAAAATGGCGACTGGTGCAACCTAAATCTGACGGGGTCACAAAGTTTTCCAAGTTCCCATAAAAAATCAATACCCCTGATGGTGCAGGATCGGAGATTACGATCCCAAAAAAATTACCAAACAAAATTACGATCTGTGGATGGATAAATAGTGTGTGAATGTGCCCTTCCTGCATAACGGGCTGTAACGTATGTGTCTGGCAGAAGTCGCCATCGAATATTTTGCCATAGATGACGCCACTGGAAAACAAGAAGAAGATCTCCGCTATTGCCTTAAAATAGGTTAGTCAGTATTGACAAATGGCATAAGACAGCAACAAAAATATAATGAAATTTAAAAAAAGCATACATAAGTAGCCTAAAATTAATTCATACATCTGTAAGAACCTGATATAATCCAAAAAAATTGCTCATAACTTAAACGTTTTTACTCTGTTTTTCAACTATCACTACAAAAAATCTTTTCCAAAACTTGCTGTAGTTGGCACCTATGTATTGTCTGGATTTACGATCATAGAAAAATTGTTACAACCTTGTATAATATAATATCAATTATCTTATACATAATATCAATTTCTTGACCCATAAAACATTGTAAATTTTCTGTAACTTTAATGAAGTTGTACTAAGTAGTCGTTTATGTTGAAACAGATTACCGTGTAATCAAGTTCAAGATTGTGCAGTTCAACTTAACGTCATAAAGTTATACCAAATTTGAACTATTCGACAGGCTACAAATTTTTTAATAGTACTGTCACTATTAAATTTTAGCATCTTCAACATGCATCAATATTTTAAGCAAATTGCTCAAAAATTTTGCGTGCCATGAAACTGTTCAAATCAAAGATAGAATTGATAATTAAACTTTTAAAAAAAATATCCCATTTTTTTCAACTATTACGTTTTATACTGAAAATGCAAAACTAACTAAAAATTCATACTTATTTTATTTCTAATAGAAAACTGCTGAATACTTTAAACTTTCAGCGAAGAAAAAAAAATGACTTCATTTTACAAAACAGTTTTTTATACGAAAGTAAAGTCTTACTTTACCATCAAAAAATCGAAATTAATTCATAACTGATAAAATCCCTAGAATGTTTAAGAGTTAGGGGAAAAACTCCCATCGCATGAATTGCAAAGCAGTTTTTCCCCCAACTTTCTTAATTAGACAATTCATATTCATGGACTCTTCAGAAAAACAACAGCAGAGGGACTGCAACTCAACTTTATTTTTGAAGCACAAGCCAAAGTAATTAAAATGTTTTATATTTTGATTAAATGAATCATTAATGTGGAATATTCAAAAACCTTAACGACTTTGAGATGCGCCAAGCTAGAAAAAAAAATCATTTTTGCCAACAAAACTATAAGAAAAAAAATTGGTTTGGCTAAACCTGTTGGAGAAATTTTAATAAAAATTGTGCCGTTCTTGCACGCGATAGTTTAGCTTAGCGACGGAAAATGTCAATTTTTTTTCCTTGCATTTTCCCCATTTCATTAAAGAGAAATTAAAACAAGCAAAAAATAGA